TTAGGTAAGCCGTCCGAGCCTCTACATGCACCTGCTGAACGTGTTCGCCGAGGGGGCGCAGAAGGCGCGGAGAAGCGGCGACGCCAACGCGGCCAACGGCAGCAGCCAAAAGACGGTAAATAGGTATAGCTAGCAGAGAAAATTTGGGAATTGGGGGCAGGCGAGCAGAGATTCTTTAGGAAAAGGCAGGCTAGCAGAGATCATTCACGACCTGTTAAATTTCGCCGTTTTCAGTCCTCATCCAGCGGCTCCCCCCAAGAAGAAGCCGCCTAACCAGACGATGAACACCAACACCAAGCCGATCAAGCCGCAATTCCGAAGCGCCCAAATCGCCCGACCCGCACATTAGCCTCTCGATGAGAATAAATGCTTTGAATTATTTTTGTGTGTTGTTTTTGTACATCTTTATGCTGTACCAGATGGTTCCAGTCGCTTCGCGACTGCAACCATCTGGCCTTCGGGCTACCCTACATGTCCTACTCCGCCACATCCTTCGCTACCTCCAACAATACCCACGCTAACGGCTTCAGATAGCCCCCCCCCCCCATAGACGAAATCCCCTTCAAAATCTACCTAAATACCTTCCTGATGGCTTTAGATACCTCCCCTAGCCGAAATCCCCTTAAAAACGAAAATAACGACCGACCGGATAAGTGGGAGAAATAAAAGAAATGAAACGGCTCCCGTGAAAATTTTCATCCACGAAACACGCGCCACCTGGCTCACTATGTCCAAAATCACCCCAACCTCCGTCCCTTTTTACTAAGGAAAAAACACCACTAAGGAAAAAACTTTCAAAGTTAATTTTTATAGGTTAAACTAAAACTTTTTCGTAATTTTTTTATCAGTTTGGGGGGTTTCTGACCACGCTCTATCCGAATCCGATGAGACCTAAGCTCTAGCTCATTTCCCCTTCGAGTTGAATTCGGGACCTGACAGACAGACAGACACCACTACTTTTTTATTATAGTTGATTTTACTACGGTACGCTACACTTTACACATGCCTAGTGGGCCATAGGCGTAGCTGTGATAGCAGACGTGGTTTAGCTTATCCGGGCAGTCGGCTCGGGTCAGGCACCGCATGTAGGGGATTGGCTAAAAGCTGGGTTTTGGTCTCTCTCATTCTCTCTCTCTCTCTCCCTCTTGCTCTCTCGCTCTCTCTGTCTCTCTCTCTCTCCCGCTCACCTGACATATCTTTGCCTCCGTACACCATTCCCCCGGTCTACAGCTTAGGTGGGCTTTGCAGTCGTAGGCCTGAAAACTTAGATAATTTATAGAAATTTGTGCTCGCCTACCGTATCTGCGTTACAAATTTTGAACAAAAAGAGAAAAATAATGGACAATTTCTGTAGTGATATTGTCATTTTCAAGCTGTAGCTTTTTTCCGTCTTCTTTCCGAAGTTTTCCGGTCTGGGATCGTTTCGGAAAATTTGAAATTCGGATTTTTGATGGGAGCCGGTGGGGGGCCATTTTTTTACTCTCTCTCTCTCTCTCTCTCTCTCTCTCTCTCTCTCTCTCTCGCTCTCTCTCTCTCCCTCTCTCTCGCTTTCATCCTCACACGATTTCTCAGCCTTTCATGGTTGTTCTCTCTATCTCGCTCTCGCTCTCCCGCTCTCTTGCGTTCTCCATCACTCGCACGATCCAGGTTAAAATTTAACTGTTCAAAAATCCATTTTTTCTTAGAGAACATCTTCAAAACTAAACTTACCTCAAATTTATGCGGACTGACCACATCAAAGCATGTTTTCGATCGGAAAGGCCGACGCAGACGGCAGCCGATATTGACTTTATAATATAGAGGTTGGGTTTATAAAAGGCGTACAGAAGTGTTGAACGTACACGTGTCGCTTCGCCCCCAAAAATGAAACATTTCCTCGTCTTTTGTCTTCTCCTCGCCGTCGCCACGGCTCTGCTATACAAGAAAGCCGCATTGAATACCGGAATTGTGCCCGGAGGAGTAAGTTCTATGGCAGACTGGCGGAGATTCTTTAGGAAAGGGCAGGCTAGCAGAGATTCTTTAGGAAAGGGCAGGCTAGCAGAGATTCTTTAGGAAAGGGCAGGCTAGCAGAGATTTTTTAGGAAAGGGCAGGCTAGCAGAGATTCTTTTGGAAATGGCAGGCTAGCAGAGACATTTGGTAAGTCCTTACTTCTTTCAGGTCGACACAGTGTCGCTCCCGAATGGTGACCGTATCCACTGCTCAACTAATTCGGACTGCCCGAAACCATCTATTTGTGTCTCCGCCGCCGGTGGCAGCCTCTGTTCCACCATCACCGGTGTTGTTGGAGAAGGGCTGAATGACGAGGAGTGCGAGAATGAATAAAAGATTGTTTTCTGGATAAAGATAATCAAATGTGTACCTGCCCGAATACAGCATCAAAAAGCGACGATTTTGTTGGGTGTTGCCCCCTTTCGGTATCGATTATAGAGCTTTATTAACACCATTTCAATGGCACTTTTGGTCGCATTTAGGCAAAAGCGAAGGCATGCGGCGGCTTGTCCTCTCCGTGAGCGTGATTTCCGCCGTCGAACTTCTTGTGGCCGCCGTCAAGTTTGTCCTAGAAAATCCACAGAATTAAAGGGACTATGAAGATTGGGCCAACACAAGGATACCAAACCCAAGCCTACGTCGAAGCCTAAGTCAAGCCTAAGTCAAACCTAAGCCAAGCCGAAGCCTAAGCTGAAATCTAAGCCCAACTCACCCCATCGTTCTTCAGCTTATGCCCACCCTCCGCTCCGTGAGCAGCAGCTTGCGGCACGTAGGCGGCAATGGCGACTAGCAGAAGGCACAGGACGAAGAAGAAGCGCATTGTTTGGTAGTGGTGGTTGGTAGTGGAAAGGAGTGTAAAGTACTCATCATCGTAAAGGCTAGGCTTTTATAGCAAAGTCTCGCTGTCTCTCCCAAAATTCAGGCCCCAAAAATTCCGCATCACTCCTTTGGCGGTCGCCCCGTCAAAGCATGGCCCGGCTTTGAAGCGGGAATTGTTAAGTAGTCCAAGAATTTTGAGTTGTAAAATTTGAAAATCCTTTCGTGCCGATTTCGGAAGTGTATCTGACGTGGGGTGGTTGTGTTTCGGTGATGAAAGTACTGGTCTGTTAGCGGGGGAGGGGGGGCTCTTAACATCACCTTTAAAAATCGCAATGCATTAAAAGCCATTTTTCTGACATTTTACAAAGTTTTTAGGCATCGAAAACCCGTTAAAACAGTAAAAATTGCAAATATTTTCAGTTTCTGGCTCACACGAAGAAGTACAAGAAAAGATTTATTTTTGGATTTTTCCGGATAGCTTAAATTTCCTAGCCTTCAAAAATTATCAGAATACTCTGAAAGTACGCTTGTCATTAGTAAAACGTATAATTGAAAAGGGAAATAACTCTCTGCTCCCCCCCCCCCCGCTAACAGCCCAGTGCCGTGCCCAACGAAACAACCACACCTCACGTCATCTAGAATTTCCAAAACAGCACACCAAAATATTTACAAATCTTAAAACTCAAAATTTTTGGACGCGCTAAAAATTCTGACTTCAAAGCCGAGCCGTGCTTTGACGCGGCGGCCGCCAAAGGAGTGACGCGGAATTTTCCAGGCCTAGGACTTGTCAGATACTACAGCTAGACTTTGCTATAAAAGCCTAGCTTTCCTGGGGATGAGTACCTTACACTCCTTTCCACTACCAACCACCACTACCAAACAATGCGCTTCTTCTTCGTCCTGTGCCTTCTGCTAGTCGCCATTGCCGCCTACGTGCCGCAAGCTGCTGCTCACGGAGCGGAGGGTGGCCATAAGCTGAAGCGCGATGGGGTGGGTTGAGGCTTAGGCTTAGGCTTAAGCTTAGGCTTACACTTACACTTACGCTTAGGCTTAGGCTTGCCTTTCTGACCCCGTTAATGCAATAAATGTTCCAGGACAAGCTCGGCGGCGGCCACAAGAAGTCCGATGGTGGAAATGGCGCTCACGAGGAGCCGCCGCACGCATTCGCCTTTGCCTAAATATCCCCGGAAGTGCCATTAAAATGGTGTTAATAAAGCTTTTGCATTGAGACTTTTGACTCCAAAATACAAGTGATCTCTGCTAGCTTGCCCTTTCAATTCCAAAACAATCTCTGTTAGATCGCTTCTGCACACCAAAATTTGCATAATTATACAGAATAGGCCTTTCAGAATGGTTAACCTCAGCTTCCAAATGATTCTCCTCCCTGGATGGCCATGGAGACGGTCAACCCGAATTTCATCATCCTCGACCAGGTATTTTAGAGCGATTTCGAAGCAGCGGAAGTTGTAGCAGTTCGTACTGTTTTGTAGTAGAGCTAGTTTTAATTGCTCTACTGTACTGCTTCCAGACGCTGATCCTGTTCGACGTCGAGCAGCCGACGAACGCCTCGCAGACCATCTCCATCCACCGATCACCGCATATCAAGGTTGGCCTCGCTCTCTCGCTCTCTCGCTCTCTCTCCCTCACTCTCTCTCACTCTCTCACTCTCTCCTTCTCTCAACTAGTCCCGATTTTAGTCCCCGATCGCCTGGCGGGTGCAGACCAACGCGCCAACGCGGTACATCTGCTCGCCGAATGGCGGAATCCTGTGTAACCAGGATCCGGTGGAGGTAGATGACCACTCTCTCTCACTCTCTCTTTCTCTCTCACTCTCTCGCGCTCTCTCATCTTCTTCCCCTTCAGGTAAAAATCGAGCTGGTCGACAACCGCTTCGACCCCCGTCATATCGTCGTCGTCCAGGCCCTCGAGGTGGCCCCCGAGGTCCAGAACGTCACCAAGGTGTTCAGAAGACCCGGCTCCTATCAATGATCAACTTGCAGTTCTGGGCCAAACACCACGACCCCGCCCACATCCAGGCCCTGTTCTTGCAGCTGGACACGACGGTGGCCAGCCTCGAGAAGGCGAACACCATGGGCGAGCAGGTCAGGTGTAGCACTCTCTCGCTCTGCCTGTATCTCTCTCTCTCTCTCTCGCTCTCTCTCTCTCCCTCACTCTAATTTTTCTCTAGTCCATGACGGCCACCACGCAGTCGGTGACCAACCTCCTGAACGCCTCGCACATGACGGGAGCGGATCGACTCCGTGAGCTGCAGCAGATCCACGCCCTCGTATTGGTCAGTTCTTGGTCAGTAGATGCTCAAAAACACTCCCAGGCCGACACCGAGCTGATCGACGCCGACTGCGCCGAGCTGGCCAGGCTGAAGGTGGCGCTGGAGCAGCAGGTGGACACCAAGTGAGCTCCCGGCTTCCCGACGACTCCAGCAAGTTCAGGCGCGGCACGGTGGAACGGCTGAAGGAGGAGCTGAAACGGGCCGAGGCGACCAACCGGAAGATGCGCCGCGACCTGGACCGTCAGCGAGAGGTTCGGGGATTTGGGTTCTTTTGCAATATCGGGGGGGCTTTTTTTAAGGTTTTTTGAAGGTTTAAACTATTTTTACTATTTATAAACCTAAAAACTTTACACATTTTTTTGCTAAAAATACAAAAACCTCGATATTTCGACGAAAAATGGCCGATATTCCAACCAAATTTCGACTAAAAAATTTTTTCAGGAAAATGCGGCTTCTCGCGGCCGCCAGGGCAACGGGCCGCCCAGCTTCCTGTGCCGCCAATCTTAAGCTACTCCCACCGACTTGTATCCATCCTTAATCGCCCGTATTGATGTGAATTATTACACACTTTTCCGTTTTGCGCTGTTGACCGTTGAATAAATGAGGGGAATTTCTGAGTTTCTGCCAATTATTCATGGCTTTTTGCACCTCGTTTGAAAGCCCTTGACGAGCTGGATCGAATGGTACCACTTATAAACCGATTTACGTCATATTACGCCATTGAATCCAAAGAAAACTGCAAAAATCGATACTTTTCTGGCCCCGTGATACCATTGGTGCGCCGCGGCGCCCTGGGGCGTCTGGGCGGCCGCCGGTGATCCCGTCCCCTTATCAACCCCCACCCCCTCCCCATCGATAGGCACGTGTGGTGCAGTGGTAACAGCATGCCGCACCCCCAATGCGGAGACCCGGGTTCGAATCCCGGCGCGTGCAAAAGTTTTTGCTTTTTGGGGGAAATTTGGGGAAAGGGTTTTGGATGCTTTTGCAAGTATTTTGGAAGTATATACTCTTATTGTTAGCTTTAAATCGTCTCATGAATAGGCCTAAACGTTCAGCTAACGTTTTCAATTACATCGTTTACAAATCGTGCTGGATTCCTTTTACTAGAATTATTTCTTTGTCTAATTTTTTTAAAAACTATATTTTGAGCCCTAAACACTATAATAACTATGATATTAAAATAACACGCATTTTTAACAATTTTCAGCCTATTTTTTTCTAGTTTTACAACGACCCGCTTTGCTGGATTGACGAATGGGACAACTGGAATCGTGACGATGTTTATGGAAGTTATGTCTGCAAGAAATTGGCGCAGAAGACGACTGGGAGGAAGTCGATTTGGCAGAAGAGACAAAGCAATGATTTGCCGAAATAAAGGGCTTAGTAATTGTAGGAATTTAAAGTCCTTCCACACGGAGTTACATATCGTAATCGATTGGATTGGTCGTTACAGAAATTCCAAATCCGTCATTACAGTGAGTTTAACGTAGTTCAATACCATACGAAAATAAGCTTATTCGACACCAAAAAACCCAAAAAATTTCTGAAGCATCAGCTTTTCTTCGGGGTCCATGTTTGACCCGGGGGCTATCGTTTTTAAGATACAGACAAGGGAAAAGTTCCCAAACGATCTCTGCTCGCCTTCCCTTTCTTAAGGAATCTCTGCTATTCTGCCCTTTCCTATGGCAACTCTGCTAGCCTGCCATATACTAAAAAATCTCTGCTAGCCTGCCCTTTCGTAAAGAATCTCTGTCACTTTTTTCCTCAATTATCCCTATTCGTTGTTTACAGATTGACCCCCATACATCCCACTCAATCAGGAGAGGCCACCCGATACGAATAGTGATGATTATAGGAACCACAGAATTGGCCCGGAAATCGTGTGGGAGTTTCGTTGGAAGGAGCCGGGGCACGTTTAATGACTAATGAATCGAGATAAGGAATGGATGGGGTGTGATGGGTGATTTTTGGAAACGGCGCGGCTTTGGAGATAGCGGGGTACATAAAGCCCTCGCCTGCACTCACGTTCCGAAGAGCTCCAAATTGCGGTCGGGGTTTGGGTGGTAGTGGGAGGTACTTTCTCGTTATATATATCATGTCGTAAACGATAATTTTGCTAGATCCAATACCACTATCACTTTCTTAACGTATATTGTCTGGCTCAGGCTTAGGCTTAGGCTTAGGCTTAGGCTTAGGCTTAGGCTTAGGCTTAGGCTTAGGCTTAAGCTTAGGCTTAGGCTTAGGCTTAGGGTAGGCTTAGGCTCAGGCTCAGGCTCAGGCTTAGGCTTAGGCTTAGGCTTAGGCTTAGGCTTAGGCTTAGGCTTAGGCTTAGGCTTAGGCTTAGGCTTAGGCTTAGGCTTAGGTTAGGCTTAGGCTTAGGCTTAGGCTTAGGGCAGGCTTAGGCTTAGGCTTAGGGCAGGCTTAGGCTTAGGCTTCGTTTCAATTCCTTGACCCGTTCTAGCATTTTTCATGTCATAATCGCTGACCATAGCGTTTTTTTCAGATAATGCTCCGGTTACTCGCCATCTCTGCCCTTCTTCTAAGCCTAGCTCTTGCTCAAAGCTCGTGTCCGGGGAGCTCGATCGATTATGGGGATGCTCAGGAGTGCGTGATGGCCATTGATGCGGGTAAAAAACTATGGATTTTGCCTCAAGCGCTCCTTTAGACGCCGACTTCAATCAGGCCGGCCAGATCTGCTCCCTTATTGGAGGTCGACTAATCCAGACGAAGAATCAGTTCGAGAATATTGTCGCTGGGTCCCAACTTTTTGATGGTAGGTTGTAGAACTGATTAAGCCGAAGCTGAAGCTTGAACCTAAGCCTAAGCCAAGCCTAAGCCCAAACCTAAGCTTCTCTCTATCTAGCTCGGCTTTTCAGTCCTCGCCGGCAAATCCACCTTCATCGGCATTCGCAGAATTAATGGAACTTGGAGCTACGCCGATGGAACACCATTGACGTTCCAGAAGTGGAAGAGCGGTAAGTCCAAGATTTTTTTCTTTGCTGTCACTGTCCATTTAAAGTACGCGATGTACACCTCGAATTTTAGCGAATGAGACAAATCAAGTCGGCTTTGACTGCGCCATGATGCAGGGCAACGACTTCTCGTGGTATTCGACAAAGTGCGAGCTGAAGTGGCCCTTCATCTGCACGTTCCCGGATGGAAGGGATGGAAGTGAGGGTTATTCCGCCAAGAATCTCTGCTAGGTTGCCTTTTGGTGCTTCTCTCGTTTCTCAGCTCACTCTCTCTCTACCTCTCTCTCTTTCTCTCGCTTTTTGTCTGCCTCGCCTCCTATCCTCTTTTCCGCAAAAATTCTCCGCTAGCTTGTTTTTCGTAATCCTGCAAAATACATCTTTTTAGACTGCCCTAATGGCTGGAAATTCTATCAACGCACCATCTCGTGCTACTGGACTCCGGTAAGTTTCTCGGTCTCTCTATCCCTCTCTCTCTCTCCCTCTCTCTCTCCTTCTCTCTCTTGTTCTCTCTCTCTCTCTCTCTCTCTCTCTCTCTCTCGCTCTCTCTTGTTCACTCTCTCTCAGAACCCAGCTCTTCAGAACGTCAACTGGAATCAGCCCCTTAACATCAGCCTCTACGACGGTGAGCAAAGATGCCAGGCCCAAGGCGCTCACCTCGTCTCGATTCACAGCGACCAGGAGAACCGATTCGTGCTCAGTAAGTCAAACTCATTATGGATTTTTTCTTCAAGGTACCTGAAAACAAATTAAATTTTTAGACCTTGTCGCGTCGGTGCGCGAAAATCAAAACGTGCAGAACTGCGACCGGAAGCCGTTCAACCAGGTGCTGATCGGGCTCAACGGCACCGGAACTGAGCACTGGACCGATGGCTCGGCTTTTGATTACGATCACAGGAACAGTGGAGCTTATACTTATGGGGTAAGTGGCAAATTCCTAAATTACCTCTGCTAGCCTGCCCTGGGATCCCCAAATGGACTCTGCTAGCTTGCCCTTTCCTAAAGAATCTCTGCTAGCCTGCCACCTCAATTTCTAAATTGTGCTAATCTTTAATTTCCAGTTCGTCAACGACCCGCTGTGCTACCTGGACGAGTGGGACAACTGGCGCCAAGACGACCTCTTCGGCAGCTACGTCTGCAAGAAGCGCGCCGGCAGCCAGGCCACCAAGAGAATTCCGATTGAAGGAATGATCCAGAGGAGCAAATTGTTGTTGGGTGCATTCCGGAGGCATTGAATAAATTTATGGATTAATATGTTCGAAAATTTACACATTACGGACCAAAAACGTGTTACCACAAGTTCAAGACGTTCATAAAGGAGGCGGCCAGCTAGCAGAGAACATTTGGGAGGTCCCAAATGAGGAGAGTGGGAGAGCAACTTGAGGAGCTGGGCGATAGGGATAGAGATAGATAGAAAGACAGAGAGAGCGAGAGAGCGAGAGAGAGCAGGAGGGAGAGTGGGAGAGCGAGAGAGAAGGAGGGAAAGAGAAGAGGGAGAGATAGCGAGAGAGACAGAGAGAGAGAGAGAGAGAGAGAGAGAGAGAGAGGGGAGGAGAGAGAGGGAGAGAGCGAGAGAGCGAGAGAGAAGGGGGAAGATATAGTGAGAGAGAGGCAGAGAGAGAGAGAGAGAGAGAGAGAGAGAGAGATAGAGAGATATCTGAAGAACCTGCACCCACGAATAAATAGTCCTGCCTTATTTGTCCCATTAAAACGACTACAAAGTAAAAATGTGCATTAAAAATAAAAAATTGAGGTTTAGTTTTAATAAATTTTATGTATTTTCCGTCTAGATACAATTTTGAGTACTGAAACTTACGTATTTTCCACAAATTTTATTATTTTTTCTGTTTACATCCGCCTCCAAGTACTTTTAAAGTACTTTATCTGCCTTTTACTGTAGATCACACAATCAGCAGCGCTCCGTAGAGAGTATGGTGACGGAAACACGTACCCCGGACTCCAGACATCCCGCCCGGCTCGCGATACGGATAATCATCACTCCGCCAGCTCGAGAACTCACCGAAATGTGTGGGTGGCGCTTTTAATGACTAATTCGGGTTGATAAGACCCCAAAAAGGGGCCTCGTGTTTCGTTTGATTCCTGATTCCATGATGCGAGATAACGGTACAAAAAGCCCTCCCTCGAAGAAACCACACCGCAGACCCAGAGGAGCTCTGCACCGTTCTGATTGGATCTTTACAATTGATCAGTAGCTTAGGCTTTGGCTTATACTTTCAGGCTTAGGCTTAAGCTTCGGCTTAGGCTTAGGCTTTGGCTTGGGCATAGGCTTAGACTAAGGCTTGTGCTCAGGCTTAGATTCGGCTTACGCTTAGGTTTAGACTTAGACTTTGGCTTAGCTTCGTAATGTCACCAAAACTAAAATGTTATCTATAAGCAGCGGCTGCTTAATAAATTTATTCCGTTTTCCGTTAGTGAACTAAAAGTAATGATATTTTAGTAAATCGAAATGTTGCCGCGGTTAGCACTTTCTGCTGTACTGCTGGCCATCATCTCGGCCAAGTACTGCCCGCCCGGCTCGATCGACTACAGCGATGGGAAGGAGTGCGTGATGGTCATTGATGCGGGTATGTTTCTCTCTTTCTTTCTCGCGCTCTCTCTCGCTCTCTCTCCGGCTCTCTTCCTCTGAACGTCTTGAACTTGTCATCATTTTTAAATCATTTCAGGAGCCGACTATCCGACCTCTCAACGTCTCTGTCATCTTATGGGAGGCCGACTCATCCAGGCGCAAAATCAATTCGAAAATCTTGTAGCTGGATCCCAGGCTCTTGACGGTATTTTTCCCCCTTCCGAGTCCCTTTAAAACCAATTATCAGTCCTCAGCGGCCACGCCGCGCTGATTGGCGTCATCCAGCTGAACGGAACTTGGATGTACGGAGATGGGACGCCGTTGAAATACTCGAAGTGGAAGACTCGTAGGTGTTTTCTATTGACTTAAGCCTAAGCTAAGCTTAAGCTAAGTCGAAGCCTAAGCTGTGTCTAAGCTTCACCTAAGCCTAAGCTAAGTCTGAACTTATTGGCTTGGCTGAAAAAACCGTTGTTCTGATTTCAGCTAATGAGCCTACCCTACCTGGGCAAAACTGCGCATACATGCAGGGAAACGACTTTGCCTGGTATTCGACGAAATGCCAGCTGAAGTGGCCCTTCATCTGCACCATCTCGGATCAATCGGATCTTCGTGAGTTTTCCAAATCATTAAACCGATAAAAACTGTAAAAAGTATGATAAAACTCTATGAAAACCATACTTTTTGCATTTTTTCGCCTTTTCTATAGTTTCGGCCTTTTTTTATTTTTCCTAGATGTTTATTAAATTCCAGGGACATATTTCAGTATAATCTACATGATTTAAGTTTTTAAAATATTCGAAATCTCCCTAATTCCTGCAAATTAGGGTTTTTGTTGAGCAAAAGACGTATCCACCCGAGATTGGCCTGTGCTTCCCCTCTGCCTCACATAGCCCTTTCCTTTCCCTCACCGCACAGCCGCCATAGCTCAGTTGGTTAGAGCGTGGGTCTAATAAGCCCAAGGTCGCAGGTTCGACCCCTGCTGGCGGCAAATTGTTTTTGCTTTTTGGGGAAGCAGCAGCTTTTGATATAGAAATTACTTTTTTAAAGTTCTGACTAGGTTTTTAATGTCGTTTTCACCGTGAGAGCTTGGCTTCGCCGATTTACGGTTATTAGATCTTGATTTTTACGTAAAATTGTAGTTTTTAGGCTGCCCCACCGGCTGGAGCTTCTACCAGGGCACCGGATACTGTTATTACACCCCGGTAGGTCGTAAGAAACTAGTCATGTGCAATTTCGATAGAAAACCAACTGGGCTCGACCGCTAAATCTCAGCCTTGACGCTGGCGAGGCGATTTGCCAGGGCTACGGGGCACACCTCGCTTCGATTCACAGCGCCACAGAGAATCGTTTTGTTTTGAGTAGGTTTCTTCTCAAATGCTCTCGGCTAGCCTCCCTCTTAGTTCCTAAAGGCCTCTGCAAGCCTACCGAATCCGAAAAGGTCTCTGCTAGCTCGCCCGAATTCTGATTTTTAGACATCCTCCAAACCGCTCGTGAAAATCAAGGAGTTGCCCTATGCGGTAGCGACTCGTCGATGTCGATTTTGATAGGACTCAACGGAACCGGAAATTACCATCATTGGACCGATGGGACGCCGTTTGACTACGATAGAAGGAATAGCGGAGGATATACCTATGGGGTGGGTTTTAGAGAGAGCGAGAAAGAGAGAGAGAGAGAGATCCAGAGAGAGAGAGAGATAGTGAGAGAGACCAAAGCAACATTTCCAGATCGAAAATGACCCCCTGTGCTACAATGAACGCTGGCTGAACTGGGACAAAGATTCCGTCTACGGTAGCTATGTCTGCAAGAAGATGGCTGTCTGAATAAATTGTAAAATTTTTTACGTGGCATTGCGAGCAAAAACGTGGTGACGAGGTCTCTCTCTCACTCTCTCTCTCTCTCTCTCTCTCTCTCTCTCTGTCTCTTTTCACTGGCGATTCATTAATGCACGTCGAAGCGCTGATAATGGACCATCTGGCTTGGCGCGGGTGGAGGCTATTTAAAATTTAATACGATGTCAGTCTGGATTGCCCGCCATAAATCGACTGCGCCGTGTACGATTCTCAGAAGATGAGCCCATTTCCGTTCCGTCAACTGACCGAAACGCAACGGACGGCCATCTACTACCATCTCGGCTTCTCGCAAAAGTGTCTGCTCCGACGGGTTGCAAAGATCTTCCTCCAGCGCTCAGCGCACCATTTTCTGATGGCCACCCGGTTTGACGCTATATCCGTCAGAACGCGCGATTGGGTAAGAGAAATAGAGAGAGAGAGAGTGTGTGTGAGAGATGTGAGAGAGCGCAAGAGAGAGTGAGAATGAGAGATAGTAAGAGAGAGAGAGAGAGAGATGTGAGCGAGAGCGAGAGAATTTTTGTCCGCATATAAAAACACTTTCAGCAGCGTAGCTTGATGGGGGTGACGACTTTGACGCAGATACGTCCCCAGATGTCTCACTAACCATTAACATTCACCGTTCTGGAAGACCGATGGAATTTACGCATTCGGAGTCGTGAGTATTTCCCCGTCCGCTTCATACAGGTTCGGTAGACCGCCGCGAGGATCGTACAGCCAGTGGCAGCGCGTTACGAGACGCTTTGAATCGAGGGACGCTGAATGCGCATTTGTCAATCGGGTGACTGCGACGCTGCCGGCACATCATGTCAATTTTCAATACGATGCAGAGATTGAGGTAAGGTCGAGGTCTCTGTATCAACACCGCTCTCTCTCTCTCTCTCTCTCTCTCTCTTCTCCTCTCTCTATTTCTCCCTTGTTTTCTCTTTCTACACCCCCCCTCTCTCTCTCGCGCTCTCTCTCGCTCTCTCTCTCTATCTATTTCTCTCTCTCTCTCCCTCGCTCTCTCTCTCTCTCGCTTCTCTTTGTCAGTAATGACCATCTTTGTCAGGAAGACCTGCCGATCCGTGACGCGCTGAACTTGTTAAGCGGGTCATTTTTCGTACACCACCTGAGAGGAACGGCCGAGCAATTCCTGACGCTGCTTCGGGCCGAACGGCAGTTAGTCCGGCAACCAACAAAGGTCGGTGAACGCCTCCAACTTGCGTATGTATGGCAGTCATTAGTGCGGCTTTGCCTTTTGCAAACGGAACGGTTTGCAAAAAGGCAAATCCTGAATACAAAAAAAACACATCAAAATGCACGCGCTTTCTGCATTAAATGAAACACCTTTCTCGTACAGATAAAGCTGTCTTTCTGGAGCCCTGGAAGCTCCATCCACAAGTGGGAGACGCCACCAACAATTGGCATGTATCAAAAGATCTTCGGTGAGGTGGGTGAATTGCTCATCTACAGTCCTTGGAAAATAGTCTTGTTGGCTAGGAAAAAATATTTTTGGTGTCAGGTGGCGCACATACCAGAGATTACAATGATAATGGATCACGCAGGGGATTGGAGACGGCATTGGAAGACAGCTTGTGAAGCATTAATGGAAATGATTGTGGCGGCATTGGTTACGGTAAGTGGAGAGAGAGAGAGAGAGAGAGAGAGAGAGAGAGAGAGAGAGAGAGAGAGAGAGAGAGAGAGAGAGTTCTAAGAGAGAGCGTGAGAGAGAAAGAGCGTTCGAGAGCGATAAAGAAAGAGAGAGCGAGAGCGAGAGCGAGTGAGAGACGAAGAGAGAGAGAGAGAGAGAGAGAGAGAGAGAGAGAGAGAAAGAGAGAGAGAGAGAGATAGGACGGATAGACGTCATCCCCATTCAGTATCGACCATCATCGGGCGCGAATCGCCAACTCGGCATCCAATTATATCATCACATGGAACTCGATGCCAAGGTGAAAAATTTGGAAAAACTTGGCCGAACGGTTTCAACAAGTTCCCTCTCAGCCAGAATATCGACTGCCCGACGCGATACACAAAGTTCTGCGAGCGAATATTGGCGACAACGACGAGGCGTTCATCTACCGGTACACAGAGGTTCTTCCTTTTCTTCCACCTTCTCTCTCTATCACCGAGTACCAATCCCTTTTCAGTTGTGTCCGGCCCAACCTGACCGTGGTATTGAAGATGGCCGCCGAATTGATCGCATTCAAGTCCAAATTGCCCAGAATCGACGCGGCCGATGGGATCTAGACGAGGAGAAGAAGAAGAAGAAGACGTGCGCTGGCGAGACGCACGAATGGGAAATCATGTGGTCTAGCCGTCTTTCGATTGGCCCTTGATATTTTATGGCGAGGGATATGGATAATCATCTTAATAAGCACAAGATTTTAAGCCAAAACACGAATAAGAATGGCTCGAATGGCGCACTGAGGCACCGGTGATACTTTTTAACAGATTGGCAGACAAATTCGAACCGACACAAACATATTTTGAGCCCCCCTAATCAGACGCTAATGCGTGGTTGGGGCCGCACTCTAGGTCGCGAATTATCTAACGCCAAGCATTCCAGTAGCAGCGAAATGTAGTGCTGATAGATTCCCGCCAAAAACACCTTAAAAACGCCCCTGGTTCGGCTAAAAGGCCGCTGAAAAACACTGACACAAAGTGCGAGCGGTTATCGGGATGGGGTCAGGAGGGCCATATAAGGCACAGAAGGGCGCCGACAGACAGATTTTTACGCTCACCACATTTGCTTTGCCACTTTTCCTCTTGCTCGATCTCTCGCTTTCTCGCTTCTCTGTCGTGATGTCTCGCTTATTCTGACTCTCTCTCTCTCTCTCTCTCTCTCTCTCTCTCTCTCTCTCTCTCTCTCTCTCTCTCTCTCTCTCTCTCTGTCTCCCTCGCTTTCTCTCTATATATGTGTCTCTCTCACCGCCACGATCTCTCTCTCTCTCTCCCTCTCTCTCTACCTCGATTCACTATGATTTATTTCTAGAAAATGCTGTACCTTTTCTCAACCTTCATCGCGTTTGTCGTTACCGTAACCAGTGCCGGAAATTGCCCTCCCGGTGCCGTCGATTACAGCGAGGGCCAAGAATGCCTCCTCGGCATCAACGCACGTAAGCCCCGCTCTCAGCCTTCCACATCCTGATTGTCCAGCTGCTGAATACGCGGCAGCCGCGCAGACGTGCACAATGCTCGGCGGACGGCTCGTGCAGCCGAGAAATTCCTTGGAAAACGTTTTGGCGGGCTCGCAGAGTATTGAGGGTATCGTTTTGCCGCGCGTAAGATTCAGTAATTCTAGCGCTGCACGGTCAGGCGGCGTATCTGGGCGTGCGTCGCATCAACGGCGTCTGGCGCTACGCCGACGGCACCGCGTTGGCGTATCAGAACTGGAAAAATGGTAGGGTATCGATACGAGTAGGGATGACAGTCTGTATTTAGGAACCGGACTCGCCGGTCAGGATTGCGCCACGTTCCGCGGCAACGACCTTTCGTGGTACCCCGACCTGTGTACCGGGGTTCGACCTTTCATCTGCTCGTTCTCCGACCAGCTGACTAACGGTACCCACGGTACGTCAACACATAGAGCACCGTACCCCAGCAATTCTCTGGGGGTTACTTTCATAATGTCAAAATTCTTGGGATAGAAACTATTTGCTATCATAATTTCGAAAATCATGATGCCGAAATTTTTGCTAGGAATTGGGAGGTTTATCGGTATTATGAAATCATGAAATTTCGACATTATGAAATTTCGACATTATGAAATTTCGACATTATGAAATTTCGACATTATTAAATTTCGACATAATTAAATTTTTGCATTATGAAATTTCGGCATTATAAAATTTCGAGATTATTAAATTTCGGCATTATGAAATTTCGGCATTATGAAATTTCTGCAGTATGAAATTTCGGCATTATGAAGTTTCGGCATTATGATTAACGAAATTTTGAAAATAAGTCGGTCGAAATCCATAATGTCGATTCGCAGTGTCGGAATTTCATTTGCTGAAATATTATTTTGTCAAAATTTAACTTTGTCGAACTATATTTGATCGAAATTTAACGCCTTTTATCTTTATTTATCGTGTCGCTATCCATGCAGAATCGAAAGTCAGCGAATTTTTCAGGCTGCCCCTCCGGCTGGAAATACTACCGTTTCACCCAATCCTGTTATTATGCGCCGGTATTAACCCAGCTTAACGTTCGGCATCACCACCATGTTTAGCCGTGGAACTTTGCGGCCCCGGTCTCTCTCACCCTGAATGATGGCGCGGCGCGATGCCGCAGTGTTGGGGCGGACCTGGCGTCGATTCACGGCGAAAAGGAGAACCGCTTTATTAACGGTCGGTATACCTAATGATACTTGATGACAAAAGACTTGCCATACAAGCTTCAGTATAGTTATGTATTCCGGAGAGTACAAATGCCGCGTGAATTTTGTGCGGTAATGGACGCCCAGTGCCGCACAGAACTCGGACTCTCTTCCCTCTTGTGGCCTCCCCATCTCAACCAATGGTTTGCCACTATGGCCTAATGGATAGCATCCAGGTCTACAAAGTGAGGGTCCCGGGATCGACCCCCGCCCGGGTCATGGTTTTTGCTTTTCGCGTCTCGCAAACGTTGGGTATCCCTTTAAGTCTATGTCTATGCCTAAGCCGAGGCCTGAGCCTCAGCTAGGCGTAAGCTAAGTCTAAGCCTAAGTCTCAGTCTAAGCCTAAGCCTAAGCCTAATCCTAAGTCTATACCTACGCCAAAGCCCATCCCCGATATTTTAGAGATGGTGTGGTCGGTGCGCGAGAACTGGGACGTGACGTGTTCTCAAACTCAGGGGGCCAGGTATCTGATAGGTCTCACCTTCTCCAGGGGCCCCCCGGAGTGGACGGACGGTACGCTGTACGACTATACGGCCGTCGACCGTGCCGGACAGCCCTCATACGGTGTATGTGTCTTGCTGTCTGCGCCTTTGAATGGGAAAATATAGATCTACAACGATCCGATTTGCCCTAGCACCGGCAGTTGGTATGGGGCCGCTGCTCAAAACTACGCTGGCTACGTTTGCAAGAAAAGGGTAGGAGAGAGAGAAAGAGAGAGAGAGAGAGAGAGAGAGAGAGGGAGAGAGAGAGAGAGAGAGAGAGGGAGAATGCGTTCTTTTGCAGGCTGTGGCCGTGGTTGGACCCACCCTCAAGGAAAAGCTCGCCAAGATCGAAAAATTGGCCACCTTGGCCCGACTGAACAAAATGCCATTCGTGCCGCCAACCTCGCTTTGAATAAATCTTGTTAATAAAAATTGCACGCAATTTTATGAAAGCCAGTGATAAATGATTTTATGAATGATCTTACGGTAATGGAGTACGCAGGGGATTGGAAACGGCATTGTAAAGCATCTATAGAAGCATTAATGGAAATGATTGAGGCGGCATTGGTTACGGTAAGTGGAGAGAGAAAGGGATATACTACTCGGCGATACTTTTTCACAGAGTGGCAGACAAATTCTAACCGACACAAACATATTTTTGCCCCGTAATCAGACGCTAGTGCGTGGCTGGGAACTACACCCCAAATCGCGGATTATCTAACGCCCAGCATTCCAGTAGCGGCAAGCCGAAAAATGATAAATTCGCGCCAAGAAAGGCTGTAAATAAGCGCCTCTGTTCGCAAAAAAAGACAGTTGAAAATGGCGTACACAAAGTGCCACCCGGCTTATCGGGATTGGGCGGGCCAAGTTATAAGGCACAGAAAAGCCCGTCGTTCCAGGCAGATTTTAGGCTCAGAAATTTGGTGGTCCCTCTCTCTCTCTCCCTCTCTCTCTTTCGCTATTTCTCTCTCTCGCTCTCTTTCTCTTTCGCTATTTCTCGCTCCCCCTCTCTCTCTAGCTCTCTCTCTCTCTCACTTTCTCTCTCTCTCCCTCTCTCTTTCGCTATTTCGCGCTCCCCCTCTCTCTATCTCACTCTCACTTTCACTCTCTCTCTCTCTCTTTCTCCCTCTCTCCTCTAGCTTTCTCGAATTCTTCGTATTTGTCATCTAGAAAATGCTGCATATTCTCTCAACCTTCCTCGCCTCTTTCATTACCCTAGCAATTACCGGAAGCTGTCCTCCCGGTGCCGTTGAATACAACGAGGGCGAAGAATGCCTCCTCGGCATCAATGCACGTAAGCCTTGCTCCCCAGCTCTCCGCATCCTGTCTTTCCAGCCACCAACTACTGGGGAGCCGCGTCGACATGCGAGATGCTGGGCGGACGTCTCGTGCAGCCGACGAGTGCCCTCGAAAATATTTTGGCCGGCTCCCAGGGAATTCAGAGTAACCGCGAAGCTAAAACCATTTCTCCGCTTTGCAGCCCTCAACGGGCAATCAGCGTACATCGGCGTCGCGCGTAACAATGGCGTCTGGCGCTACTCCGACGGAACCCCGCTCGTTTATCAGAACTGGAAAAATGGTACAAATAATCATTTTTTGGGGTCAAAAAGCAAAGTATGCCAGTCATTCCTGCCGTTCCAGGAACCGGACACCCCGGTGAGGACTGTGCGGCGTTCGGCGCAAGCGACCTGTCATGGTACCCCGGCACCTGTGCCACTTTTCATCCCTTCATCTGCTCCTTTTCGAACCAACTGACCAACGGTGCCCCTTTTCTTTCAAACGATTGAATATTGCAGGTTGCCCGGCTGGCTGGAAATACTACAGATTCACCGATTCCTGTTACCACGCGTCGGTATGTATTTCCACCGTTCCAATAGTTTCGCCGAATTTTCCTTTCAACAATGGTCCATTTTGTGAGCATAACTAAGAGTGCGTTTAGGCATGGAACTTTGCGGACCCGGCCCTGCTGCCCCTGAGCGTTGGCGTCACGCGGTGCCGCAATGTTGGAGCGGACCTTGTGTCAATCCACAGCGAAAGGGAGAATCATTTTGTCCATGGTCGGTGTTGCCTGGTGATATTAGCATTCAAATCAAATCTAATTTGCATCCGCCAAATCAGTTCTTTAGGATTCGCGGGGGGAGGTAGTCTGGGGGGGATAGAAACCAAATTTTTTCGGCACAAGCCTAGATTTTTTATATAAATTGTGGAAGTGTTTCTAAATCGTTTATCGCTATTCCTAAGCAATTACTCACAAAAATTAATTAAAAAATTTAGTTTTAGGTCTAAAATCAATTTTTTCGACCCAAAAATGACAAAATTTTCGACTTTTTCAAGCGTTTTTCTAACTTTTTAAGGAGTTTTTCCGATTCAAATAGGCTTAAATTTTGCAAAAAAAAAACAATGTGAAAACTCTTAATATTTGGTTACTAGGTCAAACGGGACTCCCAGAAAAAATCCCCCCCCCGGAAGACCCCAAACCGCCAAAACATACCTTGCGTGTCGCTGGGGGCGGTTACCGCAATAGTCGTTCCATAAGCAAGATATCCATAGTCGCACCTTTTTCTATGCGGGGTCTTGTTCCAGAGCTGGCGTGGACGGTGCGCGAGAACTGGAACGTGACGCGTTGCACCGCGGCTTCGTCGAATATGTTCGTGATCGGGCTAGCCTTCAATGGACGGGACACGGAAGTACCTGAATGGACGGACGGCACAGCTTACGACTATACCGCCGTTGACCGCGCTGGACTGGCTTCATACGGTGTAGGTTTTTATACTGTATTTTCTTGTATTAGGATCATTCAGGTCTACAACGATCCGATTTGTAGCAGCACGCGCAGTTGGTATGGGGCTGCGGCAGGCAAATTTGGTGGCTACATCTGTAAGAAGAAGGTCAGCGAGAGAGAGAGAGAGAGAGAGAGAGAGAGAGGGGGAGACGTGGAAAAAAATTTTTGATGACCGGGCAACTTTCAAATAGCGGTTTTCAGGCGATCGTCGCCGGTGCCGGGCCATCACTTGAGGAAAAGCTCGCGAGGATTGAACAATTGGCCACGCGGGCCAGACTAAACAAAATTCCCTTCGTGCCGCCAAACTCGCTTTGAATAAAGACTTTTCATTAGACGGACGCGCTAGTTTCCACTTAATAACGCGTTGCAAATCAAACGGCAGAACGGAAGTTCGGTAGGACGCATGAAAACTGCCTTCCGCTGCCTAAAACTGATTATGAAGCCCTAAGCCACCCGAAACATTCAAGGAAAAAATTTTGCCGTTTTGTTAGACGAACACAATTCCTGCCCCGAGCACACTCACCTTTTTCGATTAAGCGAGTCGCGGAAAGATAAGGCATCACCGCGACAAATTTAGAGCACATTTTCCGTCCTAGATGACGCGAAAAATTAACTGAACAGGGTACTCAGAACAAGCAATCCTCTTTCGGGAAGGGTCGTTAAGCACGTGTCGGCAGTAAAAGGAGTGCCGACAATGAGCGATTCGAGAAAGCGCGAATTATCTGAATTCGAGGGGGGCACTATATAAAAGCCAGGCGCCCAGGGATGGTACCATCAGAAGCAGCCTGGCTAAAAGCTTAGTCGAGAGCTGCTAAGAGAACATTATCTCTCTCTCTCTCTCCTTCTCTCTCCATCCCTCTCTTCTTTCCCCCTCCCTCTCTCGTTCTCTGGTTTTCTCGCTCGCTCTATCTCTGGCACTATCTGTCACTCACTCAATCTCTCTCCCATCTCTCTCCTCGCTCTCTCTCTCTCCTCTCTCCCTCTCTCGCTCTTTCTCTCTCTCTTTCTCTCTCTACCGCCTTCTCTCTCTCTCTCTTATTTCTTGTATTCCCATGTCGAAATTTAAGGCTTACACTCTAGAAGATGCTGTATAGCGTCTCGGTCCTCTGCGCCGTCGCGTTTACCGTCGCTTCCGCAGGCAATTGCCCGTCAGGATCGTTCGACTACAGCGATGGCCGTGAATGTCTCGTTGGCATCAATGCTGGCAAGAATATTACGTTCTATTAGCAACATTCATTTTTAGACGCCGAATACTCAGTGGCGCTTCAGACGTGCAAATTGATCGATGGCCGCCTCGTCCAGCCGAGAAACGCCCTCGAGAACGCGATGGCCGGCTTTGAAAATATTCAAAGTAATTCGACACTTAAATACATCCCTGTTTTCCAGCCCTTAAGGGCCAGGCGGGCTACATCGGCGTCGCACGGGTTAATGGCACTTGGGGATACGCGGACGGAACCTCGCTGGCATACCAGAATTGGAAGAACGGTACGCCAACTTTTTTCTCTCTCTATTTTACTCATTTTCTCTCTCTCTCTCTATCTATCTATCTATCTTTTTCTCTCTCTCTATCTGTCTCTCTCTTCCCGCTCTCTTGCTCTCTCTCAACCTTTCTATCTTTTTATCTATCCTCTCTCACGCGCGCTCTCTCTCTCGTTCTTTCTCTCTCCCTGTGTTTCTCTCACTATCTCTCACTCTCTGTCCATCTCTCGTTCTTCCTGCTCTCTCTCGCCTTCTCTCTCTATCTCTCTCTATCTATCTCCTCCGCTCTCGCTCTAATTCTCGCTTTAATACCGACAAACCACATACCGCTAAAGCAAAATGCCGACAACCGAATAGATCGACAGTTCGAAATCACGAAAAACACTCGGCATGCAAATACCAATAAGCCAAGCCCCCGGCCCTCACTCGAGTTGGTAGACTAACCGAAAATACCGACAAGCGTCGAGATGTCGGTATTTCGTTTGGTGCCAATCTAACTGTCGGCATTTTGCTTGTCTTCAATGATGAAAACCTCGTTTTGCATTTCAGGAACCGGCTCTGTCGGCCAAGATTGTGCGGGATTCCGCGGTAGCGACCTCAGCTGGTACCCAGTCGCCTGCAGCACCAGACAGCCCTTCATCTGCTCTTTCTCTTATCCGCTGGTGAACAACAGTACGTTGCCCTTGAATCAGGCTTAAGCGAAATATAGACTGCCCCGCCGGCTGGAGCTTCTACCAGGCCACCGGGTACTGCTACTACGCGCCGGTAAGCCTCTTTGTCTTTTCCATGCCCTCGCTCTTTCGCTCTGCCTCTCTCGCTCTCTCTCTCCTCTCTCTCTCTCTCTATCTCTCTCTCTCGGCTCTAGCATCGTTTAGGCATGGAACTTCGCAGATCCTGACAGCTACACGATTGATCAGGGCGAATCGATGTGCCGCGGTATGGGAGGAAACCTCGTGTCGATTCACAGCAACCTGGAGAATCGCTTCGTCTTTAGTGAGTTTGGGGTTTAGAGTTAGGATTTTATTCGGCGACAGCACAAAATTCCGCACAAGGTCGAGTTGGTTCCGACACGAAACTAGGATGTCACTCAAAAAAGTCTGTTTGTTCAGGACAAGGTTCCACTTACAGGGTTCCTTGTTAGGCATAGTTTGGCAGCTTAGTCCTGTCATCCGCTATTTCAGACCTGATCGCTTCGGTGCGCCAAAACTGGAATATAACAAGCTGCCCGATCTCTCCCGTCAGTCAGTACCTGATCGGACTGACCAACCAGGGATCGTATCGTTGGACCGATGGTTCTGCCTATGACTACGCGTATGTGGGGACTAACGGCGCCGCTTCTTACGGCGTACGTTTTCACGACGATTTTCTGCAATTAGCATCTAGATCTCAAACGATCCGCTGTGCTATGATAGTCGTTACTGGTATGGCTCGAGCCAGGACGCCGGATATGCTGGCTATATCTGCAAAAAGAAGGTGAAGAGAGAGAGGGAGAGGGAGATAGAGCGAGAGAGAGAGAGCGCGAGAGAGTGAGAGATATGAGAGAGAGCCAGAGAGAGTGAGAGAGAAGGGGAAAGAGTGTGAGTGAGTGAGAGAGGGAGAGGGAGAGAGAGAGAGAGAGAGAGAGAGAGAGAGAGAGAGAGAGCAACAGAGCTAACTCTTTATATCTTACTTTTAGCCCGCCACCATCGTCGCCGGACCGCCACTCGAGGAAAAACTGGCCAAACTCCAAAAATTGGCGACCCTGGCCCGGCTGAACAAAATGCCATTCGTGCCGCCAACTTCGCTTTGAATAAATGTTGTTGATTAGCAATGATATAAAATTTTTCTATGGATAAGACGATCAAAAATGTCATAGCTTTAAAGTTTTTTTTTGGAATTTACAAAACAATCTTCGGACGCAGCAAATTTCCGGTCCTTGATTTTGGCGCTAAGCGGCTTTAAAATTCTCCTAAGCTGATCGAGCGCTTTTCACATGATTGGTCAAGTAGATAAGGAGGGACCTGACCTAGACAACGAGCAATTGTCTATCATTTCATGGCTTTAATTCATTCTTTTCGCCCTGATTCTTGTTCTCTCGTCCTTTCTCTCTCTCTCTCTCTCTCTCTCTCTCTCTCTCTCTCGCTCTCTCTCTCTCTGATGCTACGTTTTTCTACATCGGCTGACAGGTATTACTCGAATTTATTTAGGGCCATGCGAGTTGTGTTGAACGTAGTTTTCTTTTCCCTGCTATTTCTATCAGTCGAATCTGGCTATTGCCCGCCCAATTCGGCCGATTATACAGACGGAGAAGAGTGTATCACTTGCATTGATGCGGGTTAGCCTTTAAGATGAGTATTTTTACCAAATTTTAGATGCCATCTTTCAAAACGCGCAAAAAGCGTGTACTGGCATCGGCGGAAGATTAGTACAGCCGCGGAACGCCTTCGAAAACACGTTTGTTAATCAGCAGAACGTGCAGAGTAAGTTTCGTACTTTTAGATGGTTTAACTGCTGGCAAAATAACTATTTAGCTTTTGCTTAAATTCAGATTTATTTTATTTTTATTTGCATTTTTATAAGTCTAATTTTGAATCTCTAGATGCGATAAAACGAAAGAATAAATTAGATTAATTTTATAGAAATTTTAGCGCCAATTTTTATATAATTAAGTAATTTAAGAAATCAGACGTCGCAAAATATAGAGCTATTTGATTTAAATTTTGTATAAATTTTAATACAAATTTTTGAAGCCCGCTTCAGACCTGCACGCCGGGAGCACGTGGATTGGCGTAGCGAGAACAAATGGAATCTGGCGCTACGCTGACGGCTCCCAATTAACATATGCAAACTGGAAAAGTGGTACAACTTTGTCCAATTTTTAAAGATATTTAAAATTAGTTAATGAGCCGAATATTACCGGAAATGATTGCGCCATGTTGAACGGCACGACGGCCCAGTGGATATCCGGAAATTGCGCTACGAAACGCCCGTTTATTTGCACGTTTTCGGATAGGGGTACGGTAGAGGTTACATTTTTTTTGATATGGCGATGGCTTGTCATCTTCATTTCGCCAAAAATGTACTCATTTAGACTACAGCTGCCCGAACGGCTGGACAAGATATGAAAATTATTGCTATTACACACCTTCGGTTGGTTGAGGCCTGGGCTTAGGCGTAGGCTTAGGCTTGGGCGTAGGTTTAGGCTTAGGCTTAGGCTTCGGCGTAGGGTTAGGCTTGGGCTTAGGCCTAGGCTTGGGCTTAGGCTTCGGCCTAGGCTTGGGCTTAGGCTTAGGCCTAGGCTTGGGCTTAGGCTTAGGCCTAGGCTTGGGCTTAGGCTTGGGCCTAGGCTTAGGCTTAGACTTAAGCTTAGGCTTAATATTAAGCTTGGGTATAGGCTTAGGCTTAGGTTAGGCCTAGGTTAGACTTAAGCTTAGGCTTAGGTTAGGTTTAGGCTTAGGATAAAGCTGACTTAAGCTTAGGCTTTGGCTTAGGCTGAACTTATCTATATACCTTTTTAAGGCGTCCAACTGGGGCCCGCAACCCCCCAACATAACATTTGCATCCGGAGAAGCCTTGTGCGTACAAAACCAAGCCCATCTGGTATCGATCCACAGCGAAGCCGAGAACAATTTTGTCAATGGTAAAGTTGCAGTTAATCGGCTACAGGAAAATTAGGTCTTTACGCCGACGCCATTGGCAATTACACGTCCGGCTGCTCGATCCGGCTCGAAGGCGTCATTGGGTTAAGCGGCGGAACCTGGACTGATGGTACCCCAGTAGATTTCACGAATGGCGGAGACGTGGATGGGCCGAGCTATGGGGGATGAATAATGTGCTTCACATCAAACCTTCATTTTTAGCTCTTCCCACCCGGCTGTAAGAGCGTAGCCTGGGATGGATGGAACTTGGACGAGGTCTACGCGAGCTTCATCTGCAAGAGGCCCGCAAACCAATAAGTTGATTACTGAATAAATTCTGAAATTGGCTCGTTACTTCCCGGCAAAATATTTTGCTGCTCCGGCCAGTTACGTATTAGGCGCCCGAAAAAATCTCTTATCACTAATTTTCAGCATAAAATGGCCCCGTGATAGTCATTAAATGTCCAGTTTAGCTACAAAACCAAGGCGCACCTTGCCTGAGTTTCGCACATAGAGATAACCTCCCTCCGACCGTAGAGGTCTCAAAAGCTTTATAAAAAGCGCTAGACGCTAGTTAGTATGTTGTAGGCCTATGCCAAATATGATTTGTAGTAAGGACACGACTATTCGTCTTCTTCTTTAAGATTAGAGCCTTTCAAGTTTTAAATCGAACTTTTATGCGAATTTTGATCCTTTAAATGTTCCTGCAAGTCAAGAAATCCCGTACCTTGCGGTGCCCCGGCAATTCGAGAGAGAGAGAGAGCGGGAGAGAGAGAGAGCGAGAGAGAGCGAGAGAGAGGGAGAGCGAGAGAGAGAGAGAGAGATCTAGAAAAATTTGATCGAATCCGTGCTTATTAAAAGGCACCGGCTGGTCAAGGCCCTCAGCCTGACTTGGGGGCCAGACACGGCTGCCACGCGACCGCCCCGCCAGCTCTTTTGTCCCACTTTAATCGTGAAATATCGTATTTGATTTGAAATGTCGATCGATCCCCGAGCACACGAATTTTTACTTCCTGGCCGCTTTCAGCGAGGACCAACTTTCTTGTTTCTAATAAACTACAAACTTCCATTGAACTGCATTTTAGGATGTTGCTTTAGGATGTTGCGTGCAATCACCTTCGTGCTTTTGGCTTTGCCGTTGGCATTAAGCACGTTTTGCCCGGAGGGCTCCGTGGAATATGGAGACAATTATGAGTGCATCTTAGCTGTCGATGCAGGTGAGCCCTCAACTAAGGTAGACCAGCACAGGCAAGTAAGATGGTCATGGAATCGCTATGGCGCCAATACTGCTCCTTTTCCCATATTGAGAAACCTAGACGCTACCTACGACAGCGCGCAAAAAACATGCCAGGCTCTCGGCGGACACCTTATACAGCTGGGAGACGCTTTCGAAAATGCCTTCGCCAACTCGCAAAAAACGCAAGGTATTTCTGACTTCTCACCCAATACCCGGAATCCTACTCAGTTTTGGGAGGGCAAGAGGCATTCATCGGGGTCAAGCGCACTGATGGCATGTGGAGGTATGCTGACGGATCAAATCTCACCTATGCTAAATGGGCTGACGGTAAGTTAGCGATGGCCATTAATTGAGCTCGAGCCATTCCCAGCTCCGCCGTGGCAGATTGGTGAGGACTGCGGAATCCTCCGAAGCACTGATGCGTACTGGGACGCTAGGCCATGCGCCACGCGGCTGCCGTTTATCTGCAGTTTTGGCGACCACGGTGGGGAGCAATGTTGACAGCCTGGGTCTTGTATTCTTGGGATGCTCTATGATTTTTTGGGTTTCAATCGATACGTAATCTGTAAAAGCGGACAATTCTGTGGACCGGACACTAGAGGCGAAGGGTGACTTTATTGACACAATCGATTTCCGAAATCCGTGCTCAATCTTACATAGTTTTGGCGCGTCAAAGGGGTTGAGGGCGATCAGCGGAAGCATGAGGTACGGGCGTTAAAACCTGCCCTTTACATGGCGCCACCGACGAAAAATTTTGGAAAAGAAGGTTGCATAGCTCTTAAATAGGCCAAAAAAACTTTAGTAAATAGCACCGTAGGCAGAAATATTTTTGAGAAAAAATTGTAAGGGAATCCTTATGAACTTTTCGGGCCCCGGCCGATTTCGGGGGGCGGTGTTGCGCTACGTCGGCCTATACGTCGTCACCGAGAGGGCGAAATTCCCATTATTAAGTTTAATTAATTCTATCAATATTCCCGAATAAATTCTAAACCCCCAATGGTCTACTCCAAAATCACGTTTTACTCGGCTGCCTCTGAGCCAAGTTCCACTTGTTCGCCTGGACTAGGCTCATATTTATAGCTTGCCCGGAAGGTTGGCATCGCTACAAGGAAACCGGCGATTGCTATTACACGCCGATGGTAGGTCCGACACGATACGGCATCTTATTTTCTATTTAGGGCATAGCCTGGACTACTTGGAGAAACATCACGTTTGATCTCGGCGAATACATCTGCAGTTTGCTCTATCGGGCAAACCTCGTCTCGATACACAGCGAGCATGAGAATCAGTTTGTGCAGAGTGGGTGTGCTGTGTCGGCCGGGGTTTCAGAGCGTCTGGATTAGCCCGGAACCGGTGTCCCAAGGCATTTGCTAGTGGTGGTGTTACGCCGGTTTTCCAGACTTGACGGCGATAGCCATGGCAAGTTTCCCACACCATTGCTCCTACTACGAAACAGTCATCGGACTTAACGTAACGACTTGGACCGACGGCTCCCCGTTCGACTACGACCTCCGCGTTCTAAACACGTCGTCTACCTTTGCGGTAGGTATCCTGTTTGTTTTTTAAGCCAAGAATGCATATTTCGCGGTACGTTGCTCGGGGGTTGGTTTGTGCCAAGAAGTGGACCCTCTTCGAAATCGCGTGTTTTCCATATGGCAGAATATTGTGTATTTCAATGGAAAAATAACTTCTTACAAAATATGGTCTCTTTCTAGCTCAGGGATCCGGCCTGCGGCAGCCCCTATTGGGAGGGTGCGTCGTATAACGCAGCTCACAGCAGCTTCATGTGCAAAAAGTATACTGGCTGGCAAAAAAATAGCGATGCGGATCGCTGTAATCCAAGAAGCCGCATTGCTAAGTCGACGCAGTCAGAAGCCATTTCTAGCACCAAATTTTTGACGTACCAATGCTTTTCGTTAATAAACGATTCAGGGTAACGATAAATGCAAAATACCTCTTTTTCTTTCTCTCTCTCTCTCTCTCTCTCTCTCTCTCTCTCTCTCTCTCTCTCTCGGCTCTCTCCTGCTCTCTCTCCGTCTTGCCTCCCCACACAGACGGTGTTTGCAGCTCTCCAGAAAGGGGTAGTTATCCTAAACGTACCCGAAGCCTGGGGAACCCGGAATTTTCAGCTGATAATGGTTCAGTGACAGCATTAGACAACCCCCAGTAGCCGTAAATGAGCCGTAAATTTTGCCCAACTCCATTGTTCGCGGCGTCGAAACTTACGGTAAGTCGAGATAAGAGGGGCGGTGGCCCCGGTGGATTCCGAGGCCCTCTATAAAAAGAGATGGAGCCTGGTAAGTCATTCAGTTCGGCGGCTTCTTGCTAGTAGACGTGCCCCTTGGGTTCTAGCACCTTTAGCAATTTCTGGATACCTGAAAAGCTTCTAAAATCTGTTAGTTTAGAATGCTGCAATTAGGCACGATCGCCCTGCTGCTAATCGCTGCAGCTCAAGCTCGGTTTTGCCCAGATGGTTCCCTGGAATTTAGTGATGGAAATATAGGAAAATAGATATATAGATATAGAGATATATATATAGATATAGGAAATATAGGAAAAAAGAGAGGAATGAGTGTATTTTTGCGGTAGATGCGGGTGAGCTGAAGACGTCGCTAGGTCACTACTGAAGTATGAGTTTAGATACCACCTACGACAGCGCTTAAAGGACGTGCCGAGCATTTGGTGGTCGCTTGGTGCAACCGAAGACCGACTTGGAAAATTCGTTTGTCAGCTCGCAAAAGACGCAGGGTAAGTGAAAGAAAGCGAGAGAAAGGTGGAGAGAGAGAGAGAGAGAGAGAAAGAGAGAGAGAGCCAGAGCAAGAGATATGCTAGAGAGAGAAAGAGAGGGGGAGTGTGAACGATAGTGATGGAGAGAGAGATAGAGAGAGAGAGAGAGAGATAGTGAGTGTGATCTAAGACCGACCCTTTATTTCTAGTCCTTAAAAACCGTGATGTCTACATCGGAGTACGACGCCAAGACGGGACCTGGAAGTACGGTGACGGGTCGATGATGAATTTCACGAAATGGCAGGGAAGTAAGTTTACTTTAACTTTGATGCCTTTTTTCTACAAGAAGTAACAGTACTTTGATGTCCTTTTTCCTTTGTCAAAATGGATAGAAGCCGCTTTTCCTCTTAGGTCCTCCGACGCAGGTGGGTTACGACTGCGGGATCATGCAAGCGACAACCACCTACTGGACCGCATCCCCATGCACCACCAAAAGGCCTTTCATCTGCAGCTTCAGCGACCATCGTCGGTTATTTGAAAAGTTTTTCTGGCACAGGGAACCCGGGTAAATATCCTCTTCAGCTTGCCCTGATGGCTGGGAGTTCAATGAGCTGAATAATTACTGCTACTACACCCCAATGGTAGGCCTTATTTTATGACGAATCAGATGTCCGAGGCCAAAACCATCGATTTTGATTTTAGGGAGTCGAGTGGTCCGGTATTTACTATCGCAATAACGTGACGATCGACCTCGGCGAGCAGTATTGCAACACCCCGTACAGGGCCCACCTCGTGTCGATCCACAGCGATCAGGAGAACGAATTCGTCCGGGGTACCTTTTAATGCACGCCATATTCGTCATTCCGTGGTCGCTCAGATTTCCTAAAAGCTATTTGTTCTCAAGTCCCCAATTGTGAGAAGCGAACGAAAACCTAGGAAAACTGACCGATCGATATCAACTATAATAAAAAAGTAGAGGCGTCCGTCTGTCTGTCTGTCTGTCCGTCGTGTCCCGGATTCAACTCGAAGGGGAAAGGAGCTAGAGCTTAGGTCTCTTCGGATTCGGATAGAGCGTGGTCAGAAACCCCCAAACTGATCAAAAAATTATCAAAAAGTTTTAGTTTAAATTATTAAAATTAACATTGAAAGTGGCGCCTTAATAAAACGGGTGGGGGCCCCTTTCCCGGGAGGCCACGCCCCCTTTCCTTTCGCCCCTCTTCCCCAGGCCCTTTCCCGCGCCCAAATAGCTTTTTAAGTTACTTTAATACTTTTAATACTTTTTAATTATGTTAATTTATTATTTAAATCATTTAAAGTATCGGGATGGAATCTAAGTAGTTTTTGAAGGGGATTTCGGCTATGGGGGGTATCTGAAGCCACCAGGAAGGTATTTAGGTAGTCTTTGAAGGAGATTTCGGCTATGGGGGTATCTGAAGCCATCCGAAAGGTAGCTATGTTTTTGTGGGGGGGGTTGGCTAGAGGAGATATCTGAAGCCATCAGTGTAGGTATTGCCGGGAAGGCATCAGCGTAAGGTGGGGATGAAATGTGGTGGTGTAGAATATGGAGGGTAGCCCGAAGTCCAGCCGATTGCAGTCGCGAAGCGGCTGTAATCGGCTGGTACTTAATTGTTTAGCCCTGGCCGCCAAGTCCATCGCAGACTACTCGCACAGCTGCTCCAGCAGCTTCCAATGGCTGATCGGCCTCAAGAGCACAAACTGGACGGATGGCACCGCGTTCGACTACGACAAACGCGCAAGTGGTGGTTCGACTTTTGGGGTCGGTCTTGGAAAATCAACCTTCCGTTTTCCCCAATTCAATTTCCTATTCCCTAATTTTTTCCGTTTTTATCTACTCTGAGATTTTGCGCACTGTCGTTTTCCAAATTGTCCTATCTTTTGGCGTTTGGGCAATCATGGTAGCTATTTTTCGGCAGAATCGAATTAGTTTTACAGATTAAGGATCCGGAATGCGCGAGCGACCAATGGGACTATTGGGGCCTTGAGCGTTTCTATACCTCTTACATCTGCAAGAAGGCTGTTAGTGCTTTCCGGGCTGACCTTCCGAAGAGGCTGGCTGCGGTCCGCGAAGCGGCAACGATCAGTCGACTAACAAATACACCATTTGTTCTACCGGAGTTTGTTATAAAGCATTAATGACTGTTGATAAATTTTTCGCGCCGGTGCCTTCTGGTCACACTTAAACGGGCATTAAAAGCATGACAGCTCAGCTCGATCTCATATGTGGATTTTGTCTAAGCAAGCCTCGTCTCTAAAATACCTAAAATGACACCGTTAATGGATAAATTGTAAGCAAAATTATCCAATCCAGTCCACAACATTTCCCGCGCCACCACAGTTGCGTATCTTACGCGTTCAAACACCCGCATATCTCAGGTTTATGGCCTCGTGCTGGCTTCGCGGCGCTCTGCGGCGCATGTAGAGACAAGCTTACCCGTTGCGTTTTTACAACTGGCGATAAAGAGGAGGGGGTGGACCGAAAAAGTGTCCAGGCTCCTATAAAAAGCTTGGTATCGCTAATTTTGCAGAACTCTCGGTACTATTCAAGTTGGGGGGGCAAAATTTTTTTAGGTCATTTTGGGCTACTTGATCAGTTTTTCGCGGCTAATCTTCAGCGCAATAGTAAGCTCCCAAGCTAGGCTAAACCGAAGCACAGTTAAATGGGCTTGAACAAAGCTAAGTTGAAGCCAAAAGCAGTGAAGCTGCGACGAAGCCAAACTAAGGACGAGGCACTAAGGTTTCGGCTAAGCCTAAGCCTAAGGCTAGGTTAGGCTAGGCCTAAGGTAAGCCTAGACCTAGACTAAGTTAAGCCTAGACCTAGGCTAAGCTGAGCCTAAGTAAAGCCAACACTAAGCTAATAAGCTAAGCCCAAGCCAGAGAAAAACTGACCTAGTAGTCGCAACATGACCCAAAAAATTTTTGCCCCCCGAACTTGTATACAGGGTGTCCCAAAAAAAACGACCCATCTGGCATTTCGCCGGGTTACATCCAATCGGCCCCAAATTTGGACCAGAGGTGTATCTGACCCTAAATAACAACAATCCTGACTTATAGCCCCGTAGCTACAGTCGTTCTCGAGTTCTAACGAAAACAAACTTTATTTTCCATTTTTCATAGGGTTTTCGTGGAATTAGATCCCCTAAACATTAAGCGTAAATGATCCGGCAGGCCTTTTTTACCCTAAGAAATTTTTTCCAGAGTAAAATAAATTAAATAAGCTTCGGTTTAAGCGCTTTTTACAACGCTAAATTACCCAAGTTCTTAAGCGAAATTAGGGATTCTCAGTCGGAAGTCGATGCAAATCGATGCAAAGTCCAAAAAGATAGCCGAAAAAACTGTTCAGAATTCCGGGAAAAACAGTATTTTCATTATAACTCGAGAGCTACTGTAGCTACAGGGCTAAAAGTCAGGATTGTTGTTATTTAGGGTCTGATACACCTTTGGCCCAAATTTGGGACCGATTGGATGTAACCCGGCGAAATGCCAGATGGGTCGTTTTTTTGGGACACCCTGTAGTACCGAACTCGTTGCTAATTTTCCTTTGTTACGAGAGCTTTTTCGGGCGCCCGCAGCGGCCCTTAACTGAAAAGATGCTTTACTGGCGTGCGGCGCAATTACGCTAACACTGCGTTATTTTGCACGGCTTGTTTATGCACGTGATTTCATGCTTTGGCCCCAGCGCTTAATCGTCTTACTAATAAAGCCCGCCCCCCCCCCCCTCCTAAATCGAGATCCCATCAATTTGGTGCCGATAGCACTAGACAACCAGGCTGGCCGTCAATTTTTGACAAAATAGCGGCGCCAGCATTTACGGTAGGTCGAGATAAGGGGGGAGGGGCGGTTGCTGGCAAATCCCGTGTTTATCTATAAAGGGAGGTAAAGCTCCAGTTAGCCCCGTAATTTCATGACTTTTCCATTTTTCCGGATTCATTTGTTTGGCTTTCGCGCGCTTAACGACCAGATACCTTCAACACAAAAAGCTAAACATAGATCCGTTAAGATGCCGCGAGCCGGGCCCATACTACTCGTATTACTGTTCGTTACGGCAAGCGCCCGCTTCTGCCCGGATGGCTCGCTTGAATATAGCCAAGGCAATGAGTGTATTTATGCGGTAGATGCGGGTGGGTCGATAACGTCGCCAGCAAACTATCCTTGTAGATACCACCTACGACGTCGCTCAAAAAACTTGTCGAGAATTCGGAGGACGCCTGGTTCAGCCAAAATCGGATACGGAGAACGCGTTTGTCAGCTCGCAGAAGACGCAAGGTAAGGTGGGCACCAGGGTGTCCGGTTTCTCCGACCGGAGGGGAGGCGTGGGCAATCAACGTAGGCAGCATCGGCAGAGAAATTTTTTATAGAGAAAGAGGGCTTTTCGGGATGAGAAATTTCTTATATAGAAAATGAAACATTTGTAGTCCTAAAAAACCGGGAAGTTTACATCGGAGTGCGACGTCAAGACGGAGTATGGAAATACGGCGACGGTTCTGTGATGAACTACACGAATTGGCCGGGAAGTGGGTAGATGCCCTGGATCAACAGACTTCAGGTGCACCTACATCTGTTGGTTACGATTGTGGGATCATGCAAGGGACCAACAGCTACTGGACCTCTTCCCCTTGCAGCACCAAACGCCCGTTCATCTGCACTTTCAGTGATCACCGTTGGTTGTCTAGAAGAGAGAGAGAGAGAGAGAGAGAGAGAGAGAGAGAGAGGGAGGGAGAGAGGGAGAGAGGGAGACAGAAGAGAATAGGGCTAGGGCCGCCAGGGCTCACTCCACTCTATTCAACCCGTGCAAAGTTTGAATTTCCTTCAGCTTGTCCGGATGGCTGGGCGTACAACGAGCAGACTAACTACTGCTACTACACGCCGATGGTAATAGAGGACCATTATCACGTGTGATGATAACTTTAGGGGCTGAACTGGCCGGGAATCTATCGCAACAATGTGTCGTTTGACCTTGGCGAGCAGTACTGCGACACACAGTACGGTGCCCATCTCGTGTCCATCCACAGCGCCGCCGAGGACCAATTTGTCAAGGGTCAGCCGCATTGAATTTTTCGATATTCGACGCCTTTCGGGTCTTAGCGTGTCGAACGATGCAAAATCCATGGGAAACATTGATTTTGGCGTGCCTTTAATGTTGTGTGTGTTCTTGCGCGTAGGTTTAGCTTTTGAGGACCAATCGGGGCTGATCCTTTGCATAAATTGCTAAAATTCGGCGTTGTTTAGGGAATCAATCATCCTCTTTCCGATGGAGTTGACACGATATCAATAAAATAAAGGCTCACAGAAAGTTCAAACCGGTTTTGCTGAATTTTGGGGTTTCGGCTGCTGAGTTTTGAACAATGGTACTAACATAGGATTATGAACTAATGCCCATGGATGGAGGTATATTTCAGATCTGGTCGATAAGTCTGTCGCTGACTACAGCCCAGGCACCTGCTCCGGCTATTACTGGTTGATCGGTCTGAAGGACGGAAACTGGACCGATGGCACCCCACTCGACTACAATAATCGCGATGACGGTTCCCCCGTTTTTGGGGTGGGTTTCTATAAACTTGCTACCAGATAGTATCTCGACAGTGCTCGTTATCGTTGGCTTCCCGAAGCGGCGCCGCGCCGCAATTTTAAATACGTGTAAGCCAATCGTAAAAAGGAACTTATCATTTTTTCTACCGTAGAAACTTCACGCGACACCAGATCTTAAGCCTGAGCGTAAAATTCCAAACCCATGGCGTAGCAAAGGTTACGCGATGCCGCAAAGCTCGTGGAAGCGCTGGCGTGACCAGCTTCCTTAGGCATTACATTACCGACGCTACCGCTACGTGCCGACGAATTCGTTACGTTTTTAGATTCGCGACTCCAACTGCAATTATCCAAAATGGTACGGGCTCCAGATATCGCATGTGTTCCGCACGTACATTTGCAAGAAAGCCGTGAACGTCGTCAGTGTTGATCTTCTGACGAAGCTGGACGCTGTCCACGAAGCAGCGAAGCTCAGTCGACTTACCAATAAGCCCTTTGCCCTGCCGGAGTTTATCGCGAAGCCTTGATCTCCTTGAACCTATTTTTTTCTTTTGTTAATAAATTCTGCAACCCCAAACCTGAAAACTCAACACACCAACGTAAAAGACAACTAAGTCCTTTGAAAAAAGAAAGAAAGAAAAAAATGAAAAAGAAAGTCCTTTTTTTCTCTTTCTCGTTTTATCATATTCCCTCACTTCTAAGCGTTTCTCATTGAAACCTTAGTGTTGAATAAGATTATTATTATTATTATTATTATAAAGAAAAGTAAATGGAAAACGTATACGCTGATGTCAATGACGCCACCTTGCTTTAAAGCATGCGTAGTTCTATGACTATGCAATGTCAAAATTATGTGAATTACCGGGAAATAGCGTGTAGTTCCACCGGAAATACCCTAAAAATTAGCAGAAAAGGCCCTGATAAGTGGTTATAAAACATAGCAAGCCGGGGGTAAGGCCTTGCCATAGATAACGAGGCCCTTGAAAAAACAGCGCTTCAAAAGCTGCCCTTCAATTGTTGGGACACCACTTTTGGAACCTCCTACAGATGATTCTGAAGTTTCTTGGGGCCGTTGTTTGCCTCTTCTCCATTGCTTCGGCTCGACAGTGCCCCGATGGTGCTTCAGACTACTCGGCCGGAAACCAGTGTCTGATCGCGTTTGATGCCGGTTTGTTTTACATATCTAAAAATTTTCTGACACTTTTACAAGATGGACATGGTTACAGCTTTTTTTGCTCTTTATTTCTTGTCGATTGGAGCGCGTGAACGATACGCAGCGCGTATCGACAACGCGCAAAAATGCACGCCGCACGCAGCGCCACTAGACAACCCACCACAAAAAGCACACGCCGCGCGCATAAAAAATGTGACGAAGCGCACGCGAGACAACGCAACGCGTCTAGAAAACGCGCAGACGCGCACGCGACGCGCCTAGACAACGCAACGCGTCCGCAGCGCTAGGCAACCTGACGCGCAAAGCATAACCCCCGCGCGCGCGACACGCATCACGCCTCGAAAACGCGCAGTAGCGCACGCGACGCGCCTAGACAACACAACGCGTCGGCAGCGCCTAGGCAACTTGACGCAAAAAGCACAGACCCCGCGCGCGAGACACGCAACGCGCCTGAAAAGCGCGCAGAATCACAAGCGCCACGCGGGGCGCCTAAGACCAGCAACGCGAAACGCCCACGTAAGGCGTCCGCTACACTCAACGCGCCTAGGAAAGGCAACGTGCACGCCCGTAGATGACCTAGGTTTCCTATCTTATCCATCATATTCCTATCCTATCAAGCTTTTTTAGCTGCCACCTTCGACTCCGCTCAAAAAGCCTGCGCGCTTGGCGGTCAATTGGTTCAGCCGGTGAACCGACTGCACAACATGTTGGCTGCCGCTCAGATTCAGCAGGGTTCGTGGTCGGCTTCCGTTTCTTTCTCTCTAGCTCTCTAGCTCTCTCTCTCTCTCTCTTTCTATCTCTCTCTTTCTCTCCCCGGAGCTTTTTCTCCTCTCCTAGTTATGCACTCTTTTTTAGCCCTCAGCGCTCCCAATGCCTTTATCGGCGTTATGAAAATTAACGGGACGTGGAGATACGCTGACGGCTCATCGTTGACGTATCAGAATTGGAAAAGTGGTAAGGGTACAGTTACCAGACCATAGAATCTTGAATGTCTTAGCTGACGAGCAAAACAAGCCAGGCGCCTCCTGCGCGTTCCTGAATGGCAAGGACTTTTACTGGTATTCAGTCAACTGTGCGGAATGGAATCCCTTCGTCTGTGCCGTTCCGGATCATTCCTATAGTCGGTTGATTTTTTTTATTTTTTCGCTCGCTCTCTCTCACTCTCTCTTGCTCTCTCGGTCTCACACAATTTTTTTGGCTGATTTTCGCGTCTTGCTAATATTTTGCTATTTTTTAGCCTGCCCCGCCGATTGGATCTACAATCCTGACACAAGCGCCTGCTACTATACTCCAAGAGTACGTACTAAAATCTTTACTTAAAATTTCTTGATTTTTTGTAGACGGTTTACTGGCCCGCAAAGCCCTCGATCACATTTTCCGCCGCGGAAGCGATTTGTGTCGGGGCCGGTGGGCATCTCGTGTCGATCCACAGCGAGCCAGAAGAGAGCTATGTCTTGGAACGTACGTCACCTCCTTTAATTGTAGCAAATTTTATTCTCAATAGGGTTAGGCTTAGGTTTAGGCTTATGCTCAGGTATAGGCTTAGGCTTACGCATAGGCCTGGCTTAGGCTTAGGCCTAGGTCTAGGCTTATGCTTAGGCTTAGGCCTCGGCTCAGTCGACTTAGGCTTAGGCCTAGGCTTAGGTTTAGGCTTAGGTTTATGCTTAGGATCAAAGTGTTTTGGATTTCAGGGGTCATCAAGCCCGCCATTTCAAACTACACCCGAAACATTGACAGCTCTTATTGGTTCCTGATTGGCTTGAGCCACGGTAATTGGACGGATGGTACGCCGTTCGACTTTAATAGCATCTCGGGCGACCGGAACGCCAGCACCTATTCGGTGAGTGCGCCAGGCCGAAGTCAGAAGCTGCCAGAAACTAAGCTTACCGGCGCTGCTTAGGCGGACTATTCTTAGCGCTGAAGGTTCTACGCATTGCAGCTTCGACTCGGGTGGAGTCTCTACATGTATCCGGGCAACATTACCACGCCGTACGCCAGCTACGTCTGCAAGCAGCCGGCAAATGTCGACGGACTCACACGAAAGAAGGTGATCAGCACGGCCATCAAGAAGGTCGCGTCAGTCAAGGCGGGACGCGGCTTCGTGGAGCGGTACTGCCCGTACGATTCTATCAGTTACCCGGCTGCTCATGAATGCGTAATGGGCATGAAAGTTGGTACGTTTTTGATGACTCCAGGGCTTCATGACATACTTAGGCGCGACCTACGGAACGGCGGGCCGAATTTGTTCACTTGGCGGTCGTCTTATCCAGCCGATGAGCAACGACGAGAATCTGATGGCCGGACTGCAGAATGCGGCAGGCAAGAAAATCGAACCTGTCAAGTCCGATGACCCCAGTATTCAGAACTTGGCGGCCAGGCGACGTACATAGGTGTGGAACGGATCGATGGAACGTGGTATTACGCTGATGGCACTGAACTGAAGTATCAGAATTGGAAGAGTCGTAGGTTTTGAAGCAATGACTTGGCTTTCACTCTCGTACTCTCGCTATCTGTCTCTCTCTCTATTTCGCTCTCTCTCTCTCCTCTCCTCTCCCTCTCTCTCTCTCGTTCTGATTGAAATTCTAACTTAAGCGGCCGAGATCAACAACCCTGATCACGGTTGCGTCGTCCTGAACAGCTCGGACTTCTTCTGGTACTCTGCTGATTGCCTCAGCAAGCGAGCCTTTATCTGCACGACGCCAGACCAGACTCGAGGTATCTAAATTTAGCTCCCCAGAATCTTCATCTATAGTATGCCTGCCCGGCTGGACGTACTTCCCGCTGACCGGGTACTGCTACTACACCCAGATGGTAGCTTAGGAGACCTGAATCTAGTTTTTTTTGCAGGCGATGAACTGGAACCCACCCCCTCAACTGAATTTCACCACCGCCGAAGCCGTCTGTGCCAATGAGGGCTCGCATCTGGTGTCGATTCACAGCGACGAGGAGAACCAGTTCGTTGCTGGTGAGTTTGGTAGAGCGTTGCGGTCGCCTTGCGTGCCAAGCCGTCTTTGTCGCATCCGTTCCGGTACTTTTCTATAACTGCTCGAGGCCGTCGCAGCATAAACCAGACGCCACGTGGTCATTTTAGGTCGTCGGCCGACATCTTTTGCAGACTGCTTGAAGTCGTCAAACCGTGGCGTCGTTGGACACTAAACCATAAATTCTAGACCTGCTTTCCTCGGCGATGTCCACCTATCAACACGACTGTGACGCCCGCCTCCAAACAGTCATCGGTCTCAGCCACAGCAAGTGGACCGACGGCAGCACGTTCGATTACAACACTGGACTAGGAATGGCTGATTCTTATGGGGTATCGTGATATCTTTCTCTTCTCACCTCTCTCTCTCTCTCTCGCTCTCTCACTCTCTCTCGCTCTTTTTCTCTCTTGCTTTCTCTCTCACTCTCTCACTCTCACGCTCTCACTCTCACTCTCTCTTTCTCCCTCTCTCTATCTGTCTCTCTCTCCCTTTCTCTCTAACCTACGTCCTTCAGATGAGCGATCCTGCCTGTCACAGCACCTCGTGGAGCGGCTGGAACGCTACCCAAATTTACGCGAACTACGTCTGCAAGAAGAGAGCCCACATGTTGACGTATTTTTGAATAAATTATTACACTTTCTAACGAATTTCGGACAAGTACGCTCTGAATTTTTCGATGCTTGCCCGTTTTTGGTTACCCCGAAGTACACGCACTCGAAGAACCCGGAGTTTGTCGTCTTGGCCAGTCGACGGGGATCAAATTTCCATTTCGCGGGGGATCTGGGGGGTGCACCATTTCCGCGTGTGTCCCTTTGGTGTGGCGTGGAAGACAAACCGCAAACAGGCCGTGAAACGATGCGTGAGACGGATCGTCGCGTAGTCGATCGCCGGATCGAATCGGGGTTCTCCGGTAGGTGGTCATCCTGTTTTGTTTGTTGTCGTTGGTTTTGTTGTTCCTTGGCCTCTAATTAGAAGCCTAGGCTTGGGCTTAGGCTTAGGCTTAGCTTAGGCTTGGGCGTAGGTTTACTTATTTTTACTTAGGCTTTGACCCTGGTTAGGCTTAGGCTACGTCAGGCGCTTAGTTTCGGACTTAGGCTTTGGTTTCGGCTTAGGCTTAGGAATAGGGTTGAAGCTTAGACATAGGCTTAGGTTAGCTTAAGCTTGGGCTTCTGCTTGGGCTTAGATATAGCGTAGGCTTACGCGGAGCCATAGGCTTGGGCTTAGACTTGGTTTTGGGCTTAGGTTTTCGCTTGATAATCCATAGCCTTACCACCTTCAAGGTCCCTTTAAAGACAATTTTGCAATCGATTTTATGCATCATAACATGATAGGTGGTTGCATAAGCGACTAATCCCTATTTGTCGAGTTCTCTGGGGTGAGGAGGATGTGACAGATAATGACTATCCTGGGCCGCGAGTGCCCTCCGGCTACCCCATAGCGGAGATGAATCCCCAGCTAATGATGGGCGCATAACATAATTGTGGGCTCGAGGCGGCTGGTAGTAGCTACGAGGTGCTACTAATCGCCGTTAGCGCATGGGGACATTTATTAACTTAGCGCTTCGTTGTGATAAGTGCATTTCTTCGCGTTTCTCGCGCGCTCTCTCTCTCGCTCTCTCGCTCTCTCTCTCGCTCTCTCTCGCGCGCTTAATGTCGAGTCCGTCGCTTAGGCTTAGGTTTAGGCTTAGGTTTAGACTTAGGTTTAGGCTTAGGTTTCGGCTTAGGTTTAGGCTTAGGTTTAGGCTTAGGTTTAGGCTTAGGTTTAGGCTTAGGTTTAGGCTGAGGTTTAGGCTTAGGCTTAGGCTTAATCTAAGCTTAGCCAAGATTCCTTGGAAACTTTGGGGGTTTTTTTCATTTTTCTAAGCTCAAAACCGATCTTCCCCAAATTTCCAGCCCCAGGACCGAAGTTCCCAAGGCCCACCGGCTAGGATGGGTCACCCCCGGCGAGTATATTGTCTCAGCGGGTCGCGGGGATTACCCATCCCCCCGCGCGGGGAGTGAAGCGCCGACGCAACGGTTTGGCCGCCAGGCAAGAAAGGCCCCGAGAATGGGCCCCAACCGCTTCGGAAATTCTCTCCCACGCTCTCTCTCCCACCCTCTCTCTCTCTCTCTCTCTCTCTCTCTCTCTCTCTCTCTCTGTCTCCCGGTAACAAGCTTATTCTTCCGTTTCTTGTTCCACGAAGCTTAGGCTGCGACCCTTGTGTCGAAGCAGCCACTTCACCCCTCCGGTTTGGCTACCAACCAATGCCATAATTCCGGCCGCACGACTCCTGACGGTTCAGCGGGTTACGGTAGCCCTGAAACTGGAGCGTTTTTCAAGGTTAATCTGAACGATACTGCCAACATTCTTTGTTTAAATTATGCAATTAATTTATTTTTGTCGACCTGTTGACCAAAATTGACAAAATTTGAGTGGCACCATCTCTTTAAAGCTTTAAAATCTCGCTCAAATTGATAAAAATAAGAGGTCATGCTCACTTTAGAAGCAACATCGGTCCTTTAAAACCAGGTTTTTGCCTTTCAATTTAATTTGCTAGATTTTAGTGGCACACTCCCTTTAAAACACGTCAAGTTCACGTTTTTACTCGATTTTTTACGGCATAATTTGAAAATCGCATGACAACGTTTTTTGGGTGTCATGACGGTTTGAAACACGTCAGATTTTCTGAATTTTTTTATCATTCATTCAACTTGGCGATTTTACTGTCTCAACCCCTTTAAACCCCCCATAAAAACTCTTCTCATGCATTGCATCTCTGATATTTGCATAGCGACTTCCTCTCCCCTTCCTTCCCAACCGCGAGCCTCTCGATTTGGGTAGCCGATTAACGGAACGCTCCCCCGGCCAAAAAAAGTCCGTAAGAAAACGGTGGGGACGGTAAATCGGTTACCCCCGTTTGGGCAATTTTGGGCGCGCGAGAACCGAGGGAGAAAGTCAACGATTCGGGGGCGACGGTTTCGGTAAAGACTTCCTTTTGGGTTGTTGCCGCTTCAATGGACCTTTAAAATAATTTTCGGCTGATGGACAGGCTTTTCAAAATCAAAACCTTGCCTTTAAAGTTCCTTTAAAAAATTTTTGTCGAAGAGGCTTCGCTTCCAAGTCCCTTTAATTACTTTTAAACTTAGGAATTGGCTTAAACGCGCCTTTAAAATCATTTTACGAGTTTGGATTGGCTTTAATGGCCCTTTAAGCTTGCCGATGCCAGAATCTGCCTTCTCTGTTACTTTAAGACCCACTAAAGTCTGTATGGACACTTCAACGGTCCATTAAAACAATTTCCATGGTTTGGATTGGTTTCAACGTGCCTCTAAAAATTTTCTGAGGTCTGAGTTTGCCTTGTATGATCCTTTAAAACCTGCTCGAGCTTAAAGTTTAACTTCAGCGGTCCTTAAAAAGTCCCTAGCATGTTTTGAAAAATCGTGAATTTCGGTATTATGATTTTAGACATTATTATAGCAATTCTGGCTTCACAATCCCTTTAAAACCGGGAAGCCTAACCATGACCTGCCAGCCCGATTCACTTTCCCCCCGATTCAGCGGCTTTCTCAAGCAGTCTCGAGGCGAATCTGGGTTGTACGGTACGCACAGCCGGTCGAGAGAGGAACCGTTCCCTATTATGCATCAGGTCCTTTATGCTTCTCTCTCTCTCCTCAAGACGACCCCTAAACGGTGCCCTTTTTATGATCGTCGCGCGCTAGCGAAGGAGGGCATTTATACGGAAAGTTGCGCGGGACAGGTTTTCGCAAATTGACTTGATTTGAATTTGGCGTAGATTTGCATGAGAAATTAAACAAAATTTCGAAAAATGACTTAGAACGCCTTGATTCTATTTTTTTGGGCATTTTAGACGATTTAAATTATTCTTGTAATTTTTTACTGAAAAATCACGTCTAAATAATTTAATAAAACGCGAGAATCTCTTAAGAATCTGTATTAATTTTTGCAAGTTTAATTTTCTAGGTTAAACGCGAGTGCTTACAAATTTTGGATCACACGCAGTTTCTTATTTTTTAATTTTTTTGAGGTATTTTTTCTGCTTATTTCTATACCTTTTAAAATTGCTCAGAAACAAATTGAAAATTTATAAAAAAGCACTTATAGCCCTCAAATCGCAAGGCATTTTTGTTTATCATTCCCCCTCCGAATTTCAACATTTTTATTTCCCCGCCCCGGAACCGTCGGGCTCCGCTGGGGGACAACAAGGAAAAAGTGCACATCGACCCCTGTGCTCACTCCTCGGTCTTGTCCTGCTATAAATTGGGTGTCATTTGGGTGGCGCCAGTCCTGAGACCAGCCCGTGCTCCGCCGGCTTTTTGCTTTTGTGATGGAAATTCGGGAGGAGGCGGGGCAGCATGAACTGTGGATCCTCATGAATTTTGATATCCCTTTAAAATTGAATTTGGACTGGAAAATGCTCTCTCTCTCTCTGCTACTCTCTCCCTAAGATAGTTTATCGCTCTCTCACTCTCGCTTTCTTTCCCGCTCTCTGTCTCTCTCTTCCTCCTCTCTATCTCTCTCGCTCTCGATATCCCTCGCTCTCGCTCTCTCTCTCTCTCTCTCTCTCTCTCTCTCTCTCTCTCTCTCGCTCTCTTTCTCTCTCCCTCTCGTTCTCTCACTGTCACTGGTTCTCTCACTGTATCTCTCTCTATCGTTTTCTCTCTCCCTCTCGCTGTCTCCACCTCCCTAGCTGTCATCCTCCCTTTAAGCAAAACAACCAAATCCCATAGTCCGTTGGATATCTTCCAAAAACCACCAAAATCTCCCACTCGCTTTCGAAACCAGTCAACCTCTTTTTTGGCGCTCCAGGATTCAAAAAAGTGGCGGGCTATGTTGACAAGTGAATCGGGCTCTAGCCCGTGGGAGCCAATTTTCAGCCTTCCAGCCTTCAACTGACCTTGAATACACAACTACTACCAATACAGCGACAGACAGAAAGAGAGAGAGAGAGAGAGAGAGAGAGAGAGAGAGAAAGAGAGAGAGAGGGAGGGAGAGAGAAGATTCCTGGAAGCGAATAGTCCCTCCATTCCCTACCTCGCTTGACGGATTTTTCCTTTAGGCACCCGGCATTTAAATTACACGCCTCGGGGGCTTTTGCTTTGTGGGCAGGCTAGCAGAGTTTCTTTGAGGAATTGGGAGACGGTAGGCTATTCTTTAGGAAAAGGCAGGCTAGCAGAGATCCTTTAGGAAAAGGCAATCTAGCAGCAGCCGTTTGGCACTTATTCTTGCATTACTTGCAATTAGTTGATTTTCTCCATTTTTTTTTGGTTGTTTTCTGCTTTTCCGGAAGTACCATCCTTTTTTGCTTTTCCAAAACCATCATCTCGAGCTACTCCCGGCGGGGAGAATGGCTAGTGGACATGACCTCGAAAAAGCGGATCATCTCTTATCTTTTCTCTTTTCCCTCTGTTGCTCCTCTGCTGCTCATCCTCCTTTGACCCGTTCGCGCGGGGATGCGAAGTGATGAGGCGCCACCCATCGTCCGTCTCCCCCCTTGGATATACGGATATGATTGATTTCCGCAAATGGGCTTGCTTCGTACGCGCTCAAATGTTGACATTAGGGTGTGAAATTGCTTTGTGCAATTATGGTAAACTCGCTCTCCCGCTTCTGACTATCTTT